TTCTGGGCTGTGATGACAAATGGGCTAAAGCCCAAATAACTGTTTTAATATTCTAGGCTCTTGCCCAATAACTTGACCCTGATTCGCCCTGGCCCAAAGGTAGATAAAAACGTGTTTTTTGGCGTGGCGTTTTTTAACGCAACCAATAAACACGTTTTCTTCAGATTACTGAAAGCCCCCTGATCGTTGGATTAAAATCTGATCTATGGCTGCCTTGATTGGATATATATATACTTCCACCTCTTGCCCTAATTCAGCTGGACCGTCATTTTACTCCTCTCTTCAACTGCGGCTGTGCTTCGAGATCCTTCCAAACCCTTCCTTCTTCGTGACCATCCAATCTCTGATTCGATCTGAAATCTGAGTGATTCTTTCTTTGTGATACTAAATACTAAGTGTATTGGAGGGATTGGTGTGTGATTTACCCTTGTGGTTTCCTTTAATCTGATAGAGGAAGATCTTAGGGTTTGGGGCGATCGGTGTGGGTCATACAGACGGGTACAATCCTGTATTTTCTTGAGTCTGAGCCCCATAGATGAAAGGACCTTCATCTGGATGCCGTGTGGTTCGAGTTTCAGTAAACGGCTGAGGATTTGTTCTTCTGCTATTTTTCTTGTAATATTTTTCTTGTTTATTTTTTGGTTTTGTACTGATATCTTGGTGTAACAGTGGTATTACAGCCTTCGTCTGGCTCGTGTGGGTGAATCGAACCACGTTCTTACTTGATACAGTGATCTGGTAAATTCTTTTTGGAGTCAAAACCCTAGATCTCGATGTTCCTTGTGATAAATCTGTTTTTCTTGGTGAAAAACTGCTTCGGTTATTTGAGTTGTTCGAGTTTGGGTACTGTTGACTGCCGCCTTCGTGAAAACTGTGTGTGGTCAAGTGAAACGACCACCACTGTGGTTTAATTCTTGAACTCAAAACTTTACTGCCTGATTTTTTTGTTACATGTCTTAGTTGATTGATAATTTTTTTTCTTGTTAATTGTTTTGTGAATTTGAAACTTTGTACTTAAGCATTAAAACTGTCTATACTTGTTTTTGTTAAAAGTAATGCAGTATGCTTGTGTACTTAGCGTGAATCTGCCTACATTTGTTTGATGAAAGTATTGCAGTATATCTGTGTGTTAAGAGTTATTCTGCCTATATTCATCTGATAAAAGTATTGAAGTATACTTGTGTTTTAGTTGCTGATTCTTGATGTGCTTGAAGATTGTAACTGTGTGTTCTGTTCTTATATTCTGTATTAATATCTCTCTTAATCTTTTTTTTTTATCAAACAAAACCTCTACTCTTCACCCAAACCTTGACCTGAGATCTTGAGTCTCACGGAATCCTGGTTGGGCAGGGTAGTTGATTTCTTTAACTTGGTGTTGAAGACTGTGTGTATTTTAAATTGTTATTTCCGCACTTACACACATTATGTTGCTTTGCCTGTGATATGAAAATCTCTGTTTTTCTCACTTGTATGTTGTGATCAAATCAGAAATTACTGAGTGTGACCTGTTTGATCTAGAAAATGACTTCCACTAGTTTTGAACTTCGGGTCTTTAATGGGAAGGGAGATTTTCCTATATGGCAGCAAAAAATGAGAGGGGTTTTAGTACAACAGAAAGTCTCTAAGGCAATAACTGGAGAGTTTCCTAGAACAATGACACAAGGTCAGACTAAATCAGATGACCTAGCCTATACCTCAATAATTCTCCACCTATCTGACCAAGTGCTAAGGAAAGTAGGGAAATTAGAAAATGCTAAGGCCTTATGGGAGAAATTAGAGGAACTGTACTTAGTGAAATCCTTACCTAATAAACTCTTCCTTCTAGAAAGGTTCTTTAGTTTTAAGATTGATCCAACCAAAGACCTGGATGATAATCTTGATACTTTTAATAAATTGGTACAAGATATCACCAATGCAGGGGATAAAATTTCTGAAGAATATAAAGTAGTAATACTTCTTAATGCTATACCAGAGGCATATAGGGATGTCAAATCTGCCATTAAGTATGGCAGAGATACTTTGACCCCAGAAGTTGTTGTAAATTCCATAAGAAGTAAAGAATTGGAACTTAAAACTGAAAAACATGGGAAGGAACATGAGAGTTTGTATATGAGGGGAAGGCAACCAAATAGGCAAAATAATAACTATCCAAATCAAAATAATTCTGGAAATAGTAACAGGATGAAGTTCAGGAGTAAATCAAGATCTAAATCAAAATCTAGAAATAATAGGAAGTGCTATGGCTGTGGTAAGCTTGGTCATTACATAAAAGACTGCTATAACAAGAAAATTGAACCTAAAGAGAAGAAAGTTGATGAGGGAAATGTAGTTGAGCCTGCTGAGCCTAATACTGTTGATGTATATGTGGTGGCTCAGCAACCTGATCTGGAGGTGGCAAATTATGCCCACAATAGATATGTTCATGAGTGGATTTTGGACTCAGGTTGTACCTTTCATATTACACATGAAAGGTCCTGGCTTCAAGATTTTAAGAAGTTAGCTGGTGGTGAAATGGTGATGGGGAATAATATTGCCTACAGAGTTGAAGGACTAGGTAATGTGATCCTAAAATTTGAAAATGGATACATGTATACCCTAGAGAGAGTGAGGTATGTTCCTGAACTTAAAAGAAATCTGATTTCTATGGGAGAATTAGATGACCTCGGGCTGTGTGGTAGGATTAGGGATGGGTTGATGAAAGTGATCAAGGGATCTCTTGTCATCTTTAAGAGTGTCAAGAAAAATGGAATCTATGTAGTTAGAGCTGAAATAATACTTGAAAATAATACAACTATCTCTAATACTGAATCTGATTCCACCTTAAAATGGCATAAGAGGCTTGCACATGTTGGTGAAAAAGGCTTCACAATCCTACATAAAAAGGGGGTATTTGGTAAGGACCAAATATCAAAAATATCTTTCTGTGAAAGCTGCACTTTTGACAAACATCACAGACTCCATTTTAATTCTGGAAAACATAAAACTACTTCTCCATTGGAATATGTCCACTCTGATTTGTGGGGTCCAACCTCCACAACTATTCCAAGGAGAAATAAGTATTTCCTCTCAATAATTGATGACTTTTCAAGAAAGGTGTGGATGTTTCTACTAAAGCACAAATCTGAAACCTTTGAAAAGTTTAAAAGTTGGAAAGTCCTTATTGAAAATCAAATGTCTACAAAGATTAAAATTTTGAGAACTGATAATGGACTTGAATTTTACAACTTAGAATTTGATAAACTTTTTGAATTAAATGGAATCCTAAGACACAAAATTGTCCCATACACACCTCAACAGAATGGGGTGGCTGAGAGAATGAATAGGACCTTGTTGGATAAGGTTAGGTGTATGATGGTGGGATGTGGAGGGAGGCTGTAATGACAGCTACATATATAGCGAATAGAACCCCTTCTAGTGCTTTGGAAGGTAAGACACCTGAAGAGAAGTGGTCTGGAAAAATACCAGACTATTCCCACCTTAGAATATTCGGGTGTACAGCTTATTGTCACCAGAATTTGGGGAAACTGGAGCCAAGGGCTCAGAAATGTGTGTTCTTAGGTTATCCTGAAGGAATTAAGGGTTATAGGTTATGGGCTAGAGGTCAAGGGGGGTATAAAATGATAACAAGTAGAGATGTTACCTTCAATGAGGAAGAGATGCCCTGTTTAGAAAAATAAAATTCTGCAGACCCTGAAAACCCAAGTGTGACAAGGTTTCTGGTGGAGTTGGGATCTCAAACTGATTCTGTTCCTAATAATGTGAGAGAAAATGAACCTACACTACCTCGGACTCAAACTGAATTAGAAAATTCAGGTGTGGAGGAACATGAACAAACTAAAATGGATGATCCCAGTCAACAAAGTGATCTTAGTGACTATCAATTGATTAGGGATAGGCCTAGAAGGAACATAAGAGAACCTACAAGATATGAAGACTATCTATCCTATTCTGTCATGTCTTATAATGACCTAGCCTATAAGGAACCTAAGACCTATAGTGAAGCCATGAGTGGTAACCAATTTGGCAAGTGGGAAGTTGCCATGAGAGAAGAGATGAGTTCTCTAATGAAGAATAAAACTTGGGATCTTGTGCCTAGACCCAAAAATAAATCCATAGTTGACTGTAAATGGATTTACAAGGTGAAAGAAGGCAGATCAAATAATGAGCCTGTGAGATTTAAAGCAAGATTAGTTGCTAAAGGGTTTACACAAAAACAAGGTGTAGATTACAATGAGATATTTTTACCCGTTGTAAAATACACAACTATAAGAGTCCTACTAGCATTAGTTGCACATCACAATTGGGAATTAGAACAAATGGATGTAAAAACAGCCTTCTTACATGATAATTTAGATGAGACAATTTATATGTCACAACCTGAAGGTTTTGTGAATAAATCTAAATCTGACTTTGTGTGCTTGCTTAAGAAATCCTTATATGGTTTAAAACATTCCCCTAGACAATGGTATAAAAAGTTTGATACTTTTGTCATGACTGTTGGTTTTGTAAGAAGCTTTTATGATCATTACCTTTACTCTAAGAAAGATTCTGATTCTTCAATATCTATTTTTCTGTTACTTTATGTTGATGACATGCTGCTGATTGGGTCTGATTTAAAACAGATAAATGATATTAAAGTTCCTTTAGTGCTGAATTTGAAATGAAAAATCTGGGGCATGCTAAAAGGATATTGGGAATGGATATACTTAGAAAAATAGCACAATACATTTTGATTTTGAAACAATTAGCTTACATAGAAAAAGTTATATCCAAGTTTTCAATGCATGAATCAAAATCTGTGTCTTTGTCTTTAGCTAGTCATTTCAAATTAAGTAAAGAGTAATGCCCAATTGATGAATCTGATATAAAGTACATGGAAAAAGTTCCATATGCTAATGCTGTAAGGTCTATAATGTATACCATGGTCTGTACCAGACCTGATGTGGCTCATGCAATCAGCACTTTAAGTAGATTTATGGCTAATCCTGGTCCCGAACATTGGGAAGCACTTAAGTGGTTACTTAGGTACTTAAAAGGCACTTCTAGCATAGGATTAGTATATAAAAGAGGTAATGAAGGAATAACACTTAAAGGCTTTGTGGATGCTGATTTTGCTGGTGATAGGGACCATAGAAAGTCCACTTTTGCCTATATGTTCACTCTTTGTGGTACCTGTGTGAGTTGGAAGTCCCAATTACAGTCTATAGTTGCTTTATCAACCACAGAGGCCGAGTATGTAGCTGCCACAGAAGCTGTGAAGGAAGCTTTGTGGCTTAAGGGGCTATTATCTGAAATTAGGATGTTAAAAGAACCTGTAGTTGTTTATTCAGATAGCCAAAGTGCACTTTTGCCTATATGTTCACTCTTTGTGGTACCTGTGTGAGTTGGAAGTCCCAATTACAGTCTATAGTTGCTTTATCAACCACAGAGGCCGAGTATGTAGCTGCCACAGAAGCTGTGAAGGAAGCTTTGTGGCTTAAGGGGCTATTATCTGAAATTAGGATGTTAAAAGAACCTGTAGTTGTTTATTCAGATAGCCAAAGTGCAATACACTTGTGTAAGAATCCTATTTTTCATGAAAGAACTAAACACATAGATGTAAAGTTACATTTTATTAGAGATATTGTCTCAAATGAATCTGTTCTTCTTGAAAAAATTCCTACACAGTCAGGGGCGGAGCCAGAAACTTCGTTCAGTGCGGGCACAAATTTAGGTATTCGCTACAGTAATTTTTTTGGCCAAAAGTAGTATATGAAAGAAAAGAGCTTCACATGATTAATGCGGAAGGAATCTATAACAAATATTCACAAACGAGGTGAGTTATCCGGCATAGAAGACAATCTATAACATATACATATATAAATATGACACCCTACAGAAAAAGAATATCAAATATAGAGTTCCAAAACAAATTTTGAGTCAATAACCTCAAATAACCACCAGCAAAACCGTGAAATTTTATTTTATTTTATTTATTATTATTATTATTTTTTTATAGAATACCAATTCTAACCAGTCTAAAGACAATCTCACATCCTCGTTCACTTGAAGAACTTCTTTTCGAGTCTTGTCCCAATTGAAAATCGAAGATGTGAGAGATATCCCGAGAATGTCAAGCCCAAACTTATTAACCATTCTATAAGCATGTAGATTTTCAAATTAAAGCAATTAGTGGAAGGTGACTTTTTAACAGCTACTGCAATCAATTCTATTATTCCATTTCACTTGCTTTTAGATTAATACGATAATTAATGGAGATGCACAAGCAAAAACATTTTACACATTTATATGAACAAAGAGACATGTTTTGTGCATATATTTATGAAACAATAGCTGAACAACCTGAACTACAGAAATAGGATGAAAATAGAAACGATTTTAACTTTTAACATCAGAAGTCCTATGGGCTAAGAATCCTATTATCATGGGTCTAATGTTAAGATAGCCCAATTTAACAAAAGGCCCAGAATTTTTTTTTTAAAAAAAAAATGGCCCAACATTAACTCATCTTTCCCATCAATTCATAACTGCTCCACTGCGACAGCTGCTTACAAGCTTTCTTCTTCCATTTTCTTCTTCTCTTCTTGGTCAGTTGGTCAGAAAAGGCTTACATTACAATTTAGAAAACAATTAGAAGTTAGCCCCAGAAAAAACTCTTCTACCCTTCTTCCACTTTCAGCTTTCCACTGCGTTCGACTCTTCACGTAATGCATGGACCTGCCGAAAATCCCAGTATAGGTGTCTGCATCTACTACCTAAAATTTCAGACATGGGGACAAAGGTATTGCCTCTTTCTAAGTTTAAATCATGTTTCGCACTTTTGAATATTGATACAGGTTAATTCTTTAAATGCAGGTACAAATTTGGTGTCAATAGGAGGGCTGCAAGTGTTCAGAAACCCCATTGGCATCAAGGTGGAGGTTGTTGGGCTGTGATGACCAATAACCTTTCTGGGCTGTGATGACAAATGGGCTAAAGCCCAAATAACTGTTTTAATATTCTAGGCTCTTGCCCAATAACTTGACCCTCATCCGCCCCGGCCCAAAGGTAGATAAAAACGTGTTTTTTGGCGTGGCGTTTTTTAACGCAGCCAATAAACACATTTTCTTCAGATTACTGAAAGCCCCCTGACCGTTGGATTAAAATCTGATCTATGGCTGCCTTGGTTGGATATATATATACTTCCACCTCTTGCCCTAATTCAGCTGGACCGTCATTTTACTCCTCTCTTCAGCTGTGGCTGTGCTTCGAGATCCTTCCAAACCCTTCCTTCTTCGTGACCATCCAATCTCTGATTCGATCTGAAATCTGAGTGATTCTTTCTTTGTGATACTAAATACTAAGTGTATTGGAGGGATTGGTGTGTGATTTACCCTTGTGGTTTCCTTTAATCTGATAGAGGAAAATCTTAGGGTTTGGGGCGATCGGTGTGGGTCATGCAGACAGGTACAATCCTGTATTTTCTTGAGTCTGAGCCCCATAGATGAAAGGACCTTCATCTGGATGCCGTGTGGTTCGAGTTTCAGTGAACGGCTGAGGATTTGTTCTTCTGCCATTTTTCTTGTAATATTTTTCTTGTTTATTTCCTGGTTTTGTACTGATATCTTGGTGTAACACGTCCTTATAACCTACAGTCTACACAAGTTGGAACAGATTGCCTATTCCAAGACAGAAGGAAAAAAGAAAGTTCATAGAGGAAAATTCTTAGGTCGATATATAGAACACATCAAAGACATATATCCCTAGGTAGCATCAAAACTTGCCCGTTGGTCCTTGTTTGAAACATTTGCTCAAGGAGTGTAAAAGAAACGAAAATCTAAGATTTTCTTGTTCATAATATTAAGGTACAATTTATTCTTCATGCGCATACCAATTAGTTTTCAGTATAAAGCACCGAGCATTTGCCTATGTAAAATTTAAGAAAAATTGAAAGAACCTTCTGCAATTACTCCCTAACTCTTCTTCATTTAACCACATAAATCAAGTCGTGACATCTTGACGTGACACGGGTTTCGCCAAAACGAACCAAAGCATTGGAGTTTGATTGGAAGAAACCTAAACCAAGTTCGGGTCTTCGGGAAGCTAATACGGGTAGCACAGTTGATGGATCGAGGCACAGAGCATACTATGTTGAAGTCCATGAGCTAAGTGACAACTTTCGTGTTGGGGTCGAAGTCCGGAAGCCTATGAAATGACGTGATTCAAGTAGCCGAAGAAGGAACCAAACCATAACTCCATGCGACCGCACTGTATCGCAGGCATGCGGTCGCACAGGTGGCTACTGAAATTCGAGAGACGGCAACATCTTCAACCATGCGACCGCACCAATTTCTACCATGCAGTCGCATGGGCAAAACTGAAGATGCGAATTTTCAATTTTTGCGAGAATTTTAATTTGATTCAATTTCTTATTTTTGGCAAGTTTCATTATTTTAGGACTTTAGAATTTCGTAGTTTCCTTGTTTCATATGGTAGTATAAATTATTTTCTATCTTTTATTATTGAACAGACTTTGATTTGAGAATTAATTCAGAGAGACGATTTGCTTCCAAACCTTTGTTCTTTGGGACTTTGAACTTATCAAGGGATCCGATTGGGATTTCTTGTGACGTTCGCAACCCCGGGTGAGGTTCTTAAATTGTGTAATTAGGAGGTCTTCGATTTAATATATCGTTGGTTGCCTAATTCATCGTTTAAGAATTAAATCCGTAAACTTCGAATCAAATTGGCGTTCTTGGGATTGGTGTTACTCTCGTATGGGTTCGATAGTGTTTATTGCTATCCGGGTTCACATCACATCTACAAGAACCCTAATAGTTCAGTAAAAAATTTAGCAAGCACTCGTAATATAAACTGCTGGCACCCAAATTAAGTGACATAGTTATTTAAATTTGGACATATCAGTTAGAAATGAACATAATCTTATGTTTTAATCCCTCCCAACAATTGTGGCAGGGGAAAAGGAAGAATTAAGGGAATTAAAAATATGCCACGAAAGCTAAGATGGTAGAAATGAACATAACAAGGAATATGACATACTCTGTATGCCCGGAATGCAGTCTGAATTCGAGCGGCAGCAATATCCTCGGAGGCGAAGCAAATAAGCCCACGACTTATGGCAGAAGCACCATTTGCAAATGTAGGGACCCCTTTCCTAGAGCTGTTTTCCTCCTTGTACCCCTTTGATTTTTCAGGTGCTGAATATCTCTTCTATAATAAAGACAAAATCAATTTAAATTGCAAGCATGCAGAAATACAGATCATGAGGTGACAAAATTCAAATCACATTGGTTGTTGAATACATTCCTTGAACTTTAGTAAAAATGGCACTGCTGTGAATGCGTGCAAATCATTTTGCAGAAGGCATTAAACTAAGTTCTAACAGGAAATCCTGGATATTTATTTTTTCCAAAAAACATTTCTAAGAAAAAATATGTAGACAAGGGCATCATTAGAGTATGGGGGGATATTACAACGTTGGAGCATCACAAGTAGCATACCTTGAATTTTTCTGATCTGGTGCTTTTCACCTTCTTTTTGCTGATTATATTCTTAAACCAAACCCCAGAGCCCATCTTTGATGCCAAAAACTGGGTATCTAAATTATCCTGCAGAGAACGTCATACAGCACATAAAAATGGTATCAAGCCGTGTCTAGAACAGAGCAGATAAAATTATGTTCCTCTGCAGGCTCCTATGTCAAGCATGCTCTCCTATTATAAATCTCTCGTATTTAAATTACTAAGTTAATCATTGATTCAACAAAAGAAGAAATCGACAACACATAATTTACAAAGATTATTGACCATGTTAAGTGATGGTAAAGGCGAAGAAATTACCGAGTTTTATGATAAAATACTGTCCATGTTAGTCATTGTTCAAATCTCAAAGCACAACCTAAAGAAATGGTAAAATATTATCCCATGCTAATACATACATAGTGTAGGCTTGGTCCAAACGAGGCAAAACCCGTCCATATAAGCCCTGGAGCACAAGGAACGAGACAAACCGGTGCACACCATAAACAGACAGTCAAACCCAACCCAACCCAACCCAACCCAACCCAACCCAACCCAACCCAACCCAACCCAACCCAACCCAACCCAACCCAACCCAACCCAACCCAACCCAACCCAACCCAACCCAACCCAACCCAACCCAACCCAACCCAACCCAACCCAACCCAACCCAACCCAACCCAACCCAACCCAACCCAACCCAACCCAACCCAACCCAACCCAACCCAACCCAAATCCAATGAGCTTTTTAACTACAATAATACAAATATACTATATTGGTGCGGGAATTAAGACTACTAGAGTGGAAACCAAACCATTTTTTATAGTTATATCATTTCTCTAACAATGCATATTCACGATCTTCTCACAATCACAAAAATGCTCAAATTAATTCAAAAGTGAATTGCCTCTTCAACAATATTATCTAATCAACACACGAGTAGTTCCAGATTCAAGATACAGAATCATGACTTATGACAGCAAAAACAAATGTATACACAACCTTGAAATAAATAGCAGAGAATAAGATGCCAATATTCAAGAATCACATACCAGAGAAGCAACTATTTTTTGGCAACTTGGGTCTGTCCAAAATGTGAAGAAGACCAAGAAAAGCATTCAAATTTCGTGAAAGAAAAGTAAGAAAAATGAATGCTTTAAGAATAAAAAGTGGGTGGCGATTCGGATATTTGGCATGGCCCAGCACAGCACCAACTCATCAATCAGCGCACAATTTGTTTTTCTTAAAGGAGATGAACAAGTGCAAATTAGTGTCAACAACATCAGATAATCATTGTTTGGCGGGTCTTTATTGATTTTGAAAAAGATTTTGTTCTCCTTAATCAAAGGGCTGAACCACGATCTAACTCACATAAAGAATTGTAATTTATTCAACAAAAATATATGGCTACAGTGACACCGAAGCAACCAATGGTTGTACGACACTGGCTTGATTGTGACATCTCTCCTCTACTTTCTCTGTAGTTTAAAAAAAAAAAAAAATGAAAAGAAAGAAGAAGTAGCTATTATTATTTGCAGAAAAAAATTATAATTAATCAATGGGTAAAAAACTTGATACATCCCCAAACTATAGACTACATGCGAATAACATAGACTTCAATAGTCCCTTTACTTGAAGTCATGAACCCCATAGTCATAAAAATGATTTTCATTCAAAATTACTAACGGAAAGTCCTACGTAGACAATGAATGAATGACATGCCATTCCGTCGTTACTTTGACATCTAATATGCCAACAAAGATAACATCACATTATTTTTCTAATATACTTTCGCCAATTTAATTATGGAACCGTTCGGATTTGATTTTATTCTGTTTGATTCCCGGGTTCGTATTGTAATTAAAATTTTTATTATATACAAAACTACATTAATTCAAATGACATATTCAATCTTAACTCTTATAAAATAACGTAGTTCAATCTTATGTGCCTTTTGCGTCCCTCTTTGTTGAGTTTTTTTATAGATTTGATTGTAAAAATCACAAGAAGATGAAGATAACGAGCTCACAATAATTAAGAGATGAGTTGTTGAGCTCCAGTTTGATTTTTTTAGAATGATAGAAACTACACTACGATAAAATAACAAATTTGAGTAAAACTTAGATCAATCTGACCAAGTTGGGCTTGAACTGAAAATTGGGTTAGGAAAAATCATATTTTTAAATTTGAGCTAAATTAACTAGTTAGCAAATTTATTTAATAAAAAAGTAATTAGGCTTATTGAAAATAAATGAATTAAAAAAATTAGGAAGATTCGGTTCTTATTCAGTTTTTCAAAATTTTGGAAACATTTTTCAGATATAGTGTAAAGTTCATGTACCATTCAGGCTGTCAATGAAATATCAAATTTAGGAGATGGACAAAAAATCTTCCATATCAAAATTGTTGATAATATTTCCATTTTCAGTATGAATAATAGAATGTGTGCCTTAATTCATTAATAACTAAAAAGAATATTACAATATAAATATATGTTGGTAGACGATATTTTCATATTTTTATTATGATGACAATACACAATTAATGTGAGTTACACGAATATACACAAATTAATTTTAAATCTATTTTTAAAATCAGTGACGATCAATCAAAATTATAGAACTAAAATGCACTTAGCTCATGTTATACATTACTTTCATCGTGAGATAAATTTAATAATGTTTACGTCTCTAAAATAAAAAGGGATATTAACAACATACAATTAAAATAATATTTGTATCTAAAAAAATAAATATTTATTATACAAAAAAGGAAAAATAGAAATACTAATTTAATAAGGCATATAGGTCTCTACTGTTGATAAAATAAAAAGGGATATTAAAAACGTACAAAAAAAATAATATTTTTTTCTAAAAAGAAAAATATTAATTAAACAAAAATTTGGAAAAATAGAAATACTAATTTAATAAACCATATACGGAAATATAAATAAGTAGTAGGCTATATAACATCACTGCCTCAAGAATATCAAAATAAATTCAATTTCTTGATTATTTTATAAATAATTTCCTGTGCACTTAATGATTAGGATTCTCTTAATGATGTTTAGGTATGTACATAGAATGCAGAAAATTATTTTGTTTGGTGGTTACAATTCTAGGACCTGCCAATTCTAATTACGATTTAAACCATAATTAAGGAAAAAAGTGAATTTAAGCAAAAAAAAAATTGAATAACATACAATGGTCCCGGCGGGGCTCGAACCCGCGACCTTCGGCTCATAAGACCAACGCTCTAACCAACTGAGCTACGGGACCATTTTCAAAATCTGTCTAACTAATAAATTATTTAATAGAAATTGTGGTTGGGGGGACCAAAATACCAAGCGTGCTCCCCCGAATGGAAAAAATGAATTGCCATTTAAACTTTAAAGGTTTCCATTTTGTTTCTGTTGCTTTCAGTGAATAATTTCACATAACAAAAATGTTGTAAAGCAAGTTTGTACATTCATGCATTTCTATGTTATAGAAACTGAAGAAAAAATCTCGACTTGCTCGCACATATGAAATTTGCACTGGCACGTGTAGAAAGATCGTGAACTCCTTGCTAGTTTTGAAGCCTTTAATTGTTCCCAAAAAAAGAAAAGAGAGAGAAATCTAGTAGTTCCATTTGGTTAATATCTTCAAGAGACAAAATGGTTATTTCAGCCATTTCTGTTGTAACTTTTTTTCGGAGATAAAGAAGAAATACGCTCGATTTCATGTTGGATATAAAGAGGTATGCCCCAGTAAGAAAGAAATAATGAAAATCAATCTAAAATGGAACTTAAAAGATCATCCCTTGACAAGATTCCTATATCATCTATAATCTTGGGATAAAAATTCATAACTTCACTAATTTTGAATTAAATGTCACATTGACAGTACAGAAATGATAGGACGAGTTTGATTAAGAAACTTATCTAGAGGAGCTCAGATGAAATGATTTCCTCAAGATGTCATGTATTAAACCAGAAAACATGCAAGTACAAACGTTAAAAGTTTACTATCTACATCATGAAGCTGTGTCACGTTTGGTTTTTTACATAAACCTTTTCAAATCTGCTATTTTTTACAGCATAAATGATCCTTTTGTTCAACAAAAAATCAAGCTTCAACAGTATCGACTTATAACTGGTCGTGCTTAAGCCCACTCTATGTTTTGCAATCAATTGAGAACTGAATATTAAGTACCAAAAACTTGAACATATATATCATAAAGTCATTTTTGTTGAATCAAATCTTTATAGATAAAGTCAATATCAGTGGACAGCTGCACAAGCAAACGTTCTACAGTACAAATATCTCTAGTTAAAATAATGGTTGGCAGATGTCATGAAGCAGTTCAAGCCGCGTCAAAGCCCTGTCTCCATCCATGTAAGTAACGGCTCGAAAACATCTTCCCGGATGGGAAAGTGCAACTGTGCGTTGATTACTTGAACCTAAGGTAAAGAAAGCCCAAAAACGAGGACTTTATTTCGAAAGGGCCAAACAAAAATGAGAGAGAAAAAGGACCATTTACCTAATTACCTCCCTCAACCAAAAACCTCGTAGAATTTCCCAATCACAAGTATGCCAGAGTCAATTGATTCCAGAGGATCCTTTCGAAGTCAGTGTCTCAAGCAGTTGGGAATGACAGTAGCAATATCCTCCGCAGTTACTTTATCTTTTCCTTTAAGAGAAGCCAAAGCTTTCGCTGCCCTGTTGGTCACTATATCGCCTCTCAATCCTTCAACATTCAACTCAGCACAGACCTTTGAGATTTTGACTCTAAGTTCATGATCGATTGAAAGTTTGTAACTGATGAGAGAGAGCTCCTAGCAGAGTAAATTTGTTGCTGGAGCTTTTCTTGCTCTTCTTTGTAAGATTCCCGGAATTCTTTTAGATTTCTATCAAATCGTGCTCTTTCCTCGACAATTTTCACCCTATAACGGTCCCAACTTGTGCATGCATTCCAAAACAATCAAGAAATTGTGGCCTAAGTTCTCCCACTTCTGGATTTCCAGAACCAATAAGTATGAATCGGGCAGGATGTGATATTGAGATTCTTTCCCTTTCAACAGTATTCCATCCTGAGGCAGCAGACTCCAAAAGATTAACTTCGTCGATGTAAAGAATTCCTCTGTTAGCTTTCGCAAGAAGACCAGGCTCAAACGCCTTCACACCCTCAGTAAGGGCTTTTTCAATGTCAATTGTCCCACATACTCGGTCTTCTGTGGCACCTAACGGCAAATCAACCATGTTGATGTTGATTGAGATAACAGGGAGTTCTTCACCGCTCATAAGTTTTTCTCTAACTTCCATGCCCTGTACTTCCAGGTCATCTGGATCCGAATTGAACGCATCACCCGCGACTACTTCAATTTCAGGAAGTAAATCCACCAGTAAGCGAACAGTCGTGGACTTCCCAATTCCTCTATCACCCATTATCATCACACCTCCAATCTTTGGGTCAATCACATTCAACAAAAGGCACAATTTCATCTCATCTTGTCCTACTATAGCTGAAAATGGTTGAACTGGTCTGTGGGACTCCTTCAAGGCAAGCTTTTGTGCCTGAAAGTCGAGTACGACTTAAAAAACAACAATCTAAAATGCTTACACTGGAAGTGACAAGGTTTCCCTTTTACAACTTAAACACAAAATATATGCAATGCCTAATCTGTTTGGCAGCATGGTATTAAGCCTTAAAATGGGAATTGTAACTTGCATTTCAAAGTTGAATATATTTCTTGTTGGGTTTTTTGATACCCAATAATCCGGGTGATGATTTAAAATAGTTGTCGGATTATTTATCGACACCATGGACTTGGCTCGACTCGGAGATGATCTACACTTTTGAATGGTTTGGGTTTGGGTTGGATGATTATTTGGTTAGTTGGACCATTTATTGATTAATATGGAATTGAATATTGACCCATTAGTTTAGGTTAATTGGTAGCCCTCTTAGTGAACCCTAGGCCCAATTGGAGTGACTTAAACTAACCTATATATATGTATTTATCTCCTAGCCATTTTGTGGTGGTGGTGTGTGTGTGTTGTAGCAATGGAGATGAGAGTTGAGAGAAGAGAGGCAACCGAGAGAGAGGGAAGCCATGTGAGGTTGTGAGTAAGATTCAACCATTGTGATATATTCTTTTTCCTCTCCATACCTTTGTGGATTGCTAACACCACCACCCTTCTCCTTTGTGGGGTTGT